GTTGCTCCCGATAAAGACAAGTCATTGGGCTCCATAGAGGGGTAGTTGGGTGAGATTCTCAGGCCTGTGGTATACAGGAGGTCAGGCTCATTGCTGTAATGGTCCCTTCTTGCCTTAAGATCTACAAATGCACCAGTCAAGGTTTCAGAGCTAGGAAGGTCACTTCAATTATCCACCACCGAACTCTATGGCCCAGGCCATAGAGTGCGCTGGTGAGTGAATTAAGATTTCAGTTGGTACATCCAGACAGCTGAGACCTCTCATGCCAGCCCTTTGAGTAACAAGGAGTATACGAAGTTGAGGAGACTCCAGGCCATTTCCCAGTAGGCGTTCCTGCTGTTGACAAGACACATGGATGGGCTCAGGGAATGCTGGGCTGTGAGTCCTTCCAACTCTTGGGAATAGGTTCCCAATGGAGCCCAGGCTGGCGGTGAGTGAAAGAGGCTCCTACTGAGTGGTATCCCATGTGGAATGAGTTGGGAGAGATCTTTATTCAGTCCCCATGACACAACAATACAGACGGCTCAAGGAATTAGAAATGGGCCATGGAGACGTCTGCCTACAGGGACTGAGGTCACTGCTGTGTGACGGTGGCAGTCGCTCCAAGTGAGAAATCAGTTGGGGGCCATCACTTCTGTTTCCACCATCCTGACAATATGGGGCAGCTCAGGGTGTTGGTGAAGGGGTGGCCATGCCTTTCCCCTTTTGTAGGTGTTGCCCAAATGTGGCGATGGATGACAGATCTTCCCCCTTCTCAGAGCACAGGTTGCAATGGAGTCCAAGCGGATAGTAGCTTAAAAGTGGTTCCCGTCAGCTGGCCCTGTTATTAGGTGTATGACAGTCATGTGAAGAGGTCTCCACTGGGTTTGGGACCCCAATGTGCTAGGAGTTGCACACACGTAGAGTAAGAGACAGTCTCTGCCCAGAAGAGTTTAATGTCCAAACAGAGAAAGGGTGTGAAGGGAAACTGAGGCACAGAGAGGGGAGGTGAATTGCCTGAGGTCCTGCAAGGTCAATGACAGAGCTGGGAATAGACCCATGGGGGTCCTGAGTCCCATCCTAGTGCTCTGTTCATTGGACCACACTCCCTCTGGGATGGTACGAGTTGGGGGAGGTCTCAGAACAGCTCAGTGGGTAAATTCCCCAGGTCCCCAAAATAGGGACTTTTGGTGGTGGGGGAATTGGTGCCTCTGCTGCCCGGGAACCGGTCCCAGCACGGCTCAAGCTGGCATTGACTGGGAAGATGCTGCTGTTTGATGGGTGTGCATGGCCCCATTGAGTTATGCATTGGCAGGTCTCAGCCCAGTTCCCTGGCTGGCCAAGGGAGGGGGAGGCCATGCTCGGGTTGGGGCATGTCGTGCCGCTGGCTGGGGTTTGCAAAGGAGCCAAAGGGCGTTAAATTTGATGGAAGCTGGGGGCTGAAATCCCTGAGGCTGCTCTGAGAATTGCAGCCTGTGACGGGGGGACTCCACCTGCAGCCTGCCGGTCTCTCCTGGCAGGGAACCCTCTGTCTCTGGTCCTGGACAGGAACTCCTGCCACGAGCACAGATCGGAGCTCCCTGCTGGGCCCACTCAGCTCCTTGGCTTAACGAAGAGGCCTCTCTAACCGGCCCGTTTATCTCATCCCCAGCTCCTCACTGCCTGGTGGAGGACCACGGCGTCTATGTTGAAGGAGGAGAGGAGGAATCTGACGGTCTCTGGACACCTGTTGCCTTCATTGCTCTCTTCCTGCTCAGCCTGTTGTACAGCGCCGGCGTCACGCTGGCTAAGGTAA